ATTCCAAAAGTTACTGGCAAATCTCAGAAACATGTCTAGGTGCCTAGCTCCAACAGAAGGAAAATAGAAGACGTCTAAGCAAGATCTAGTTATCCAAATGCTTTTGGCCTTAAAAGCTATTATAATTTGTCTGGTACTCAGCAAATAACCTTACTGGCACTTTGACCTTCTTCTGTAGAAATAAGTGATTTGTATTTTTCTTAATGGACAGTCACATGAGAAGTAAGACTGAAAAGATTAGAAGTACCCTACCTTGCTGCTTACTATGCCTAAGGAACCTGTACCTCTGCATTTACTTCTGCTTGCAGCTTTAGACTGTTGGTTTTCCTTTATTCTGTGAAACACAGCAGCTTTATTAAAAATACACCCAATACTGTAGAAGGAAGAGGCCCCTGCACCTAAATGTATTCCAGTGAACTGCAGAGGATAATGCATTCTGCATTTCTTTATTCTTTCATATCTTCAACTAGAAATTAGAACTTATCTTGTGATATTAAGGTACCAGCAAAGTGTAATACTGTGCAATTTTAAGTTATATAGTTTCCAATGTGTGTTTTTCAAAAAAAAAAAAAAAAGAGGAAAAAAATAATAAATGCTCCTTTATGAAAAATCAATGTTCCATTTCACTTGAATCACATTTTCCAGATTTTCATTTTGCTCTAGAAATAATAAATAGCAATGTTTCTTTGCAGTGTAAAGTAACTAAATAAAATAACTGACCATAGGTTAACCTTTAAAGGCTTCAGTTCATCCAGGCACTTAAGCACTTGCCTAAATATAAACCCTTAAATAAGTGAGTTGATCCAGCAACATGTGTGAGTTGATTGAGTACTTGTTAACTATCCTGAAAGAATCAGAGCCACAAGCAACCCAGCCTAATGGAAATAACATGCGGTAATGGTCAGCCAGATAGGTTTCCTGAAGGTGATGCAGCCTTAGTTGTAGGAATTAAAATCCATTAAATATTTATGATTTAAAACAGTACACAGCATTATCCAAAACAGACAAGAATGCGAAAAAAAAAAAAAAAAAAAAGGATCAGTAATTTGTTTGGCTTATGGTGAATAAGCCAAAGCTAATGGGAGCCCTCAGAATACTGCAGAGGTAAAAGAATTTAAGCAGAAAGAGGCCTTGCTTTTTATCTTCTCTCCCCAGGCCCAAATCAAAACAACCAGGAAAATGTCATTCTGACACTTTGACAAGTAGTATTAACTACCCAAACACAGGCAAAAAAAAGAGTCAACAGAGGTACTCTCAGTCACACATACATAGGACTAAAACCTCTTCTGCAGACAAAACTTCCCTTTTGGAGGTTTGAGGGTGATGATTATCACCCAGAACAAAACCAAAGTCATTCATCAAGCTTTTTAAAGAACTTGACACTGTGATGCATTCACCTTCACAGCTGTGCCTGTATCAAATACCATGCTATAGGGGACATCTTTGTATTCCTCTTCCACTTTACTAGAGTCTTTCTTTGGGCTCCAAAAATGAACCTGCAACATTCCAAAAGACTCCATCTCAAGTTACAAAAGATGCTACAGGATCTGCAGGTCCAGATTTCCAATTCTCTTGTCTCAAATCTCCAACCTGTTTTATGTTTGTGATGGAACTATGAAGAAAGTCTCCTGAAAAGAGGCATTAGACTGTGTCGCTTTGAACACTGTGCTATGGACAGGAAATTTGCTGCCTCTTAGTAAAATATGGAAAAAAAGGCAATAGAACTTTACAACAATTTGCACAACTGCTGTCCTGCTCATTTTTCACCTGCTGCTTGTGCACAGCAGAGCTCCCAGCTAGCTAATATCAAATTGGAGCAAACCTCAACCACTGTAAACTTAAACCGGTGTGGTCACTATCAAAGAGGTGATATATGTGGGGGAAATAGTGTCTTACTGATTTAGTAGTGAAACTGATGTGGCCTAATACATATGTATGACTTTACGGGATAAAAGTAAAAGGAAAATGGCACTGAGGTGCACATGCCTTTTGGAGGACCAATCCCCCGTGCGTCTTCAGCTGAATAAAGCATACCTACTTTACAAATTTAACGAAGTTGTGGAGTCTATTCCGCTATCAAGTAGTAAGGTATTCAACTGCTTTTTTCAACTGCCTTCAAAGCTGGCCAGGGATACTGCCTAGACACACAGATAAAATTTTCTGATTTAAAAAGACAGACAATACATTTCAGACTTCAACAGAACAGAAAGCAAAGCAAGTCTCCTCGTACTGGCCTTGTGCAGCCTGTTTTTCTGCTTTTTTCTACACCCACATCCATCTCCAGCATGGGACTTACAACCGGTCTTTTGTGAGCTCATTATGGAGGAGAAAGGAAGCTACAGCCAAACCAACACCCGCACTGACCTGAAAGCAGCGAGCAGCCTGAATGCATCAGAAGGCACACTGCTGTCCCCACTTAGTGAAAATAAACTGATAAGCCAGAAGGACATACACATATGGATGTAACTACATGTATATGCACATGCATTTTATTTCAGTTTGACAAGTAATTTGATCCTCACCCACTTTAATGCATAAAATTAAACTGGCTGTATATGCTACACACAGATTAGCAAGAAAAAAGAAAAATTTCAAACCTTCTAACACATAAATATGCTGCTGTTCATACAACACACCCTAATAAATACACAGCATACATATGACTGATATGTGTGTGACGTGTAATGCCCATGGGATCCTCAATTATCTTCCTGACCCTTGGGTCACTGTCACCTCTTTTAACAGCCCTCTCTGGCTCCATGAATCAGCTCTGGCCATGATTTCTAACCTACAGGCTTGCTAGAGTACATTGCAGGAACAACTGGGACCAAATGCTGTGGTTGAGCTGTAACTACATCAGCAAATTAATTTTAAAATTAAATACCGATTCTTCTTGATTTAATTTCATATTTTATTAACAGAGACTCTTAAACGGCGTTCATAAATTCGTTTCACCTGCAGTAAATGCAGTCTTAAACTATTCTTAAATCTGCCTGCTCTTACCGACTGTGGTGTCCTAACACCAGGATCAACGAATGCTTTGTGTATACTCCCCTCTAGTGGATGCAAAACCCCGAAAAAACTGCAAAATGAAAACTACCAGAACAAAGCAAGGCCATTTCTCTAGGAAGACATAAATACTAAGAACAATTAATAACGAAGGAATGGTGCCCAGCTGTCCTAACATCAGCTCAAGATTACCAGGAAGAGTAATGGACATCTAGTGAAATGCTAAAAACACAATAAGCAGAAAACTGACATCAGAAAAAGTCTTACTGGATTTATAAACATTTATTTCATTGCTAAGCAGGGGACTCTAACAATATAGTCCTGGGGATTTATTTTGTGAACCTTGAGGAAATGGTCTGGGGAGAGCAAAATGTGTCATAAGTCATGTTTCCAAAAGCTATGTCCTTGAGAAATTTTTCAGGTGAAGGTTTTAATCAGCTTCACTGCTATGTAATGGAGGTAGGGACCACAGTGGTGCCCCAGCATTGCTCTTGGTGGAAGATAAATCCCATCTTAACAGACTTTACTGAACAATATGATCATTTGAAGAGGTGTAACTGCACCAGCACAGCTCCTCATCTGCAGGGTCTGGTGTAAGTGATAGAACTGTTAATTATGGTAGTGTTAAATCTGTGAGAGTGCAGCTGCATCCAGGAGAGAGTGCAGCTCAAGATTGTCCCACACAAGCTGTCCAAGATGCTGAGCAGGTCCACCAGTGGCACTGCCATAGCATTCCTCCTTTCCCAGTACCTCTACAGCACCCTGCACTGCGACTGATGCCCATCACCATGTTCCCCTCCACACCAGGAAACCTGAACCCAGCCAGCACCAGCTGTGGTGCCCATCATCCCACTCCACTCCAGTGGAAAGACACCTGCACTAGAGACAACACCTTGTGCCACGCCTCACCATCCTCCTGGACAGGGACCAGTAGCCACAAAGGGCTATGCCCCACAGTCCTTTTACCACTGTAAATAGAGAGTTAGACTTGCCTAAAAGAGAGCTAGCCCTTTCAAGGCACCTTCACACACAGCAGATGCACATCTGTGTCAATGAGACCACAACCACACTGAATATGACTGTGCGCATGTTACTCTGGCAACTTGCAGGTGGAACACAATGGGAACACCGCTGCTAGGGGGTGCATCGTGATCTGGCACCAAAATAAACCAGAATGGCAGGTTAGAAACCAACATAACTTCAGTACGGTGCTGGCTGCATGGGGGATCCACCCCCATGGAGGAGCCACACCGAAAAGAGACAGTTCACAGCTCACACATCTTCATTACATACACATTCATCATAATTCTGTGAAATGCCCACCCAATTCCTGTTACTCATTGCATATGGTAACTTGGGCAGGTAATGCTGTGGGGCAGGGGCTGTGAGCTTGAGGAGAGGGTTGCAGTGCTTGTTTGGGGAGAAATACCCCCACTCGGTTTACCCTTCTATGGAAATCCACTAGTTAAGGACACTGGAATGTGTTTAGTGTTTCCAGTTAACCACATGCTCTTGTTTGGGCTAATTTGTGACCCTGAGAGGCTCCGTGAGCTGTTTTCTTTCACAGCCGTTTACCTATTTGTCAGGCCCTATCGACAGGGGGAATGCCCACATTCATTTGAAGGAAGACAGTTGTTGCATACCTTCCTCATCTTGTGAATCACTGTCCACTTGTCCATTACCATGTTTCTGTACACGCAGAAATACGAGTTTAATTCGTATCAGCCCCGCAGTAAGATGCAGCCGCCGGGTTGCTGTCCTCACTCCTTACGCCGCCGAACCGCAAGACGGCGGCAGAGCGCGAAGCCAGAGCGGCACCCGGCGGAAGTGACGCCACGCCGCTCCCGGCAGGCCCAATTACAGCGCGTTTCTGGGTTCGGCGGGGTGTGATCGGTTGTGCTGTCGCGTCGTGGCCGGGTGAGCGGCGGCTCATCGGGAGGGCCCTGCTCGGTCTTGTCCTGCTGGCTGCCCGGCGTTTCTCGGGGTGGGCTGCTGGCGAGAGGGAGCGCAGGTGCGACAGGCCGGGGAAGCGGCTTTGTGAGGGGGTGTCCCTTGGAGAGCCGTCTCGTTGAGGGAGCGGGGCTGCGCCGTGGTCCGCGCGGGACAAGGGGTGCGGGCCTCCTCTGTTCCGTGGCGTCCGTGTGTTGAGGAGCTGGCCCCCCATGACGAGATGGGCTCGCCGAAGCGGCGCTCCCGGCGAAAAGGCGCTGGATGCGACCCCCTGGGAGGATATGGAGGGTCAGGGCCACCCAGGCCCTCTTCTGAAGAAGGAGCAGGAGAAGAAGAAGAAGAAGAAGAAGAAAAAGGATTACCAGAATGAAGATGTTAACGGGTTTGCGGCGTTCCTGAAGCAGAGCTCGGGGAGTGGTGAGGTGGCCCGACCAGACAGCGCTGAGCTGGAGAAGGAGGTAGCCATAGCCTTGAAGAAGGACAAGCGGCGGGAGGGGAGGAGGCTGAAGAGGCAAGAAATGAAGAAAAATGCCATGGTGAGTTCTGTCTGCAGCCACAGGTGTTTGTCTCTCCGTGGCAGCTTGTTAAGAACTTGGGGAAAGATCTGTGTGAAAAGTGCCCGTTCCAAAATCTTTGTTGGCACTGCCAGGGCTGGTTCCATGATGAGGTTGAGTGCTTTACCTGCTAGAAGCACAGCGTGTGCTGAGTGACTTTTCACGTTAATGAGGATGAATTCCAGCTTAACCCCTAGCCCATTCATACTGTTCATGCTACACTGTGATGAATTCTCAGCGCTTCTTTTCTCCTGAGTGAAGCTAATTCCGTGCGAAATTCTTCCGTACAATCTTTCTGCTGTTTGGGGACCTCTTTCTGCAGTGATTTGTGCTTGAGAATTGACTAATAAGACTGTCTGAAAGCAGTTATTTCGCAACAGACATAGGCATTCAGCCTGAACTTATGCTGAATGTAATCTGGGAACATATGAAGAGAGTTACTACTTGTCTGAGAAATCTTAAGTTTTTCCCGAGTAAATAGCAGCACTGGTGCAACACAGCTTATGTTTCCTTAAGCCCTTGCAGCAACAGTACTTAAAGAGCTTGGGAAACTGTAGTTAAAATCAAGTGTTATCATTTGTTCAGGGCACTCAGTTGTCAATGAGTGAATACCCTGTATGGTGTGTTGTTGGTAAAGGAAGAGAACCCATAATAGTGTGTTCTAATGACATAGGCCACTGACATTTACTCTGTGACAGGGTGCAGTATCTCTTAGTCTAATTATTTTTGCCTAAGGAGAAAATAATTTGGTATGTTTGCCTTCTGAAAAGCTAGAACACCTTGTTAGACTGGGATTTTCAGGTGTTTGAGTGCCATGCATAGAATCCTGTCTTTTTATGATAATGTCAAATTTCAACACTAGAAATAAGTATGTGGTACTACCCTCAAAGTTTCAGCTAAGAGAAATAGTGGTCTAGTACAAATCTAGTAGGTGATAATCAGATAATCAGTGAGTTCTTCAGCAGCATCATCTCTAAGTGCTGTGTTTTGCTGTGTGAACTGTCTGTGGAAATGCATACAACTTAATTTTTGCTTTCAAAGGTATGTTTCCACTGTAGAGAACCCGGCCATGGTGTTGCTGATTGTCCTGCGGTACTTGAAAGTCAAGATATGGGTACAGGAATTTGTTACCGATGTGGATCCACAGAGCATGACATCAGCAAATGCAAAGCAAAAACAGATCCAGCGATTGGTATGTCTCAGAAATTTGTGGGGTTTTGAGATGGTTTGGCCTTGTTTGTTTTTTTAACTACTGAAATACGGTCTTCATGCTTTAGTAATTTAACTGTTCTCAGCAGACAGGTTAGTGTAAAAACGAACCTGTCAGTGTATGAGTATAGTGCTTATAGTATAGTAAAACATTGTCATTGTAGTGTCTGGACTTTAAAAGGTTTTTAATGTGGATCATAAACTCTATGGGATTTTGCAGGGCCATTTCCATATGCAAAATGTTTCATCTGTGGTGAGATGGGGCATTTGTCAAGGTCATGTCCAGATAATCCCAAGGGATTGTATGCTGAAGGTGAGTGCACCGATTTACTAAAACCAAAATACATTTTTCATATTTAGCTGATATGGAACAAGATAACATTGCAAGTGAATGAGGATCTGACTAAATGGAATACCTGCCTGTCTTTACTCTTGGTGAAAGCAGATTAGTTCAGGGGAATTCAGTGTTAATATTGATTATCTAGGGATTTCTGTTTTAATTGTAAGCTTAAATTCTCATACTCTCTTAAGTATGAGAACTTGCTTGTGCTTGCAATATCAAAAGGCACACAAAGAAACAAAGTCAGAATGCACTGTATGTATGTAGTCAGTATTTAAATGTACATATATCAATGCGGTAAAAACATACTGTCATAATGTAGTTTAAGACTCTGGGAGGTGTTTGCTCAACACAATGGCTCTAACTAGAAAGAGGACATCTTCAGTTTAAGTGACTTTAATGAGAAATGTGATCTAAGTTTGGATTTCACTCAGATTCTGCTTTGCCTGGTTTCCTTATTGGCACTAAAACGTAGCATTCTGTCTCCCAGTACAGACTTGAGCCCTGGCAAACTCAGAAGGGTGATCTTACAGTACAGTCGCTTTACTTTCAGTGTTTGGTTTATATTTATGAAATATAAAATCTATGTTTATAGATTTTATAAATTTTTTATTTTGTATCTCAGAAGTTGGATTGCCTGCCACTCAGGAGCTCCTATTAATTTCAGAAGTTCCTTTTGCATATGAATTTTAATGAAAACTTCAACAGATCAGAAATGGTCAGTATTGTGGTGACTGCAATTTGTAGTATGTGGTGCTTTACAGTGCAGTTTGATTGCAGACAGCTCTGTCTGTCAGAGGCACAGACAGAGGAAGCGGTGTTTGCAGGCTTCCACAGCTGGCTGTGTATCTGCTCCATATGTTGCCAAGGAATGCAGACCTGTCCATAAGGACACCCTTATCTTTTTTAAAGGTTGTGACTACAGATAAGTAGATGTTCTCAATACACATACAAGAGCAAAATAGTGTAGGAGGGGTGTTTTGTGTTTGGGTGTTTTTGTTACCTGTTACTAGTTTTTTATTCCCAGATGAGTAACAGCTTTCTCTCTTAACAGGTGGTGGCTGCAAACTTTGTGGCTCTGTGGAGCACTTCCGAAAAGACTGTCCAGTAAAACAGAACACAGGTGAGATGCAGGGGAGTGTACAGAACAGTCTGAGTGCACAGCTGAGTAACATTTATCTACTGCTTTGCCTGCCTTCAGTCAGGAAAAAATGGGTTTGAGAAGAGAATTTGCAAAGAGCAAAGGCAACCTTCCTCTGGGACGAGTGTTTCTATCAAGGGGTGTGTGGAAGGAGCATTAAGTTGCAATGCATAACTCAAACTTTCTGTAATAAAAATAGCCAGTTTGTAGGTTTCTGAAGATAATATAGGCTAATGTGTACTTTTTAGCCAGTATTTTTTGTTGCTGTTCAAAACTTAGCAGCTGTAGAACAAAACTGGCTGCTGCTTCTGATGATTTCTGTGTGAAGTGGTGCAATTGAATGTAGTGTCAGTTGCAGGGTCATGGGACTGGCAGCATGTAGAAGCTGTGTGTGCAGGCAGGTGTTCAAGACAGCAAAACAGGAAGTAGATCTGTCCAGCTGGATTCATCAGATTGGACAAAGCCTTTGGTGATATGGTACAGTGGGGGCCATCTCTGCCCAGGGCAGTTGGAACTAGATGATCCTAAGATCCTTTCCAACCCAAACCATTCTATGATTTCATGATCCTATCTGTGGTGGAAAAAGCACATTATATACAAAAAAAACACCTGTGTAGTGGAAGGCAAGAACATCAAACAAGGGTTTGAAGAATGATTCTGTTACTAGAGTGGTGATACATTTGTGCATTTTTATAATGTGTTTGCATGGCTTGTAGAAACTTGGGGTTAATAATATGCCACTTTTGTGGAATATATGTTAGATATTTATGTAGGCAGTAGAGGCCTATGCTTCAGCCGTTTTGTATGTGATCTGCATTTTTTCCTACTTTTTTTTTTTTGACAAGATTTATGTCCATAATAAAGACTGACAACTGCTGTTTAATTTGCCAGAGGACATAGTAGTCTTTACCCTGATGTTTTAAAACTAGTTAAAAATAGTTGAATTAGTTGAAACTGTGACACCATTGGTAATAGTCTTTGAAATCAGTTTGCATCATGCAAAGTACTTTTAGACTACAAGAAGATAGCTGATAGCTGTCAGATTTAGGCACTACAGCTTGTGGTTTCTTTGGGTGGACCTATCTGTGGACCTGAACAGACTTGAGAGGTAGGCCAGTGTGAATCTCAAGAATTTCATCTAAGCCAAGTGCCAGGTTCCGCATGGGTCAGGGGAATCCCAAGCACAAACATAGACTGGGGCAGACTTGATATAGAAGCCCTGCGGAGAAGGACTGGGGATCTTTGATGACAAGAAGCTCCACATGACCCAGCTTCAATGTGTGCTTCAGCCCAGAACTCCCTGTGTGTTGGGGGTGGGGGCTGCATCCCTAGAGCATGAGCAGCAGGTCAGCGCAGGGGATTCTCCCCCTTTACCGTGCTCTGGGGAAGACCCCCCCTTGCAGGTCTGCATCTAGCTCTGGGGCAGCAACACGAGAGGGACGTGGAGCTGTTGGAGTGAGTCCAGAGGAGGCCATGGACTTGCTGCAAGGGCTGGAGCAGCTCTGCTCTGGAGACAGGCTGAGAGAGCTGGGCTGGTTCAGCCTGGAGAAGGCTCCTTAAGGGGAGACCTTAGAGCAGCTGCCAGTGCCTAAAGGGGCTACAAGAAAGGTGGAGAGGGACTCTGGACAAGGGCCTGTAGGGACAGGACAAGGGAATGGCTTTAACCTGACAGAGGGGAGACTGAGATCAGCTCTTAGGCAGAAGTTCTTCCCTGTGAGGGTGGTGAGGCCCTGGCACAGGTTGTCCAGAGAAGTTCTGGCTGCCCCATCCCTGGCAGTGTTCAAGGCCAGGCTGGACATGGCTTGGAGCAACCTGGTCTAGTGGAAGGTGTCCCTGCCTGTGGTAGGGGTTTGGGACTGGATGAGCTTTAAGGTCCCTTCCAACCCAAAGGGGACCAGCCTGTGGTTCTATATTCTTGGTATGATCTGATTTGTTCCAATTCAATAAAAATTAAATTACCATTCAGAATTGGTTAACTGTTTTCTCTAGCAAAGGAGTATGAATTTGTCTATAAATAGCATTTAAGCAGCAGGATGATGTTAATTATATGCAGGGATGCGAGTTGAGAAATGTGTATTTTGCTCTGTTGTGCCTTCTCAGTCTTATTTTTTTCACCTTTAAGTCATGGCATCATGGGATTCTTAAGATTTGGGAAGGATCTTAAAGTTTATCCAGTTCTATTCCCCTGCCATGGACAGGGGAACTTTCCACTAGACCAAGTTGTTTCAAGCCCTGTCCAACCTGGCGTTGAGCACTTAATAATGGAGATCTTTCCTTTATGTTCAGACACGCTTAACATCTTCTGAAATCATCTTAAGAGTTGTTTGGACTTAGATGAGAGCTAATGTATCATCTTATGTTTTTTTAATGCTTCTTTGGACAGTCAGATAGGAAAACCATGTAGTAACGATTTTGTGAACCTTGACAATTTGTGTGGGGGAAGAAAGGGAGTGTGCAATACTCAGCTTAAAAAAAACCAAAAAGTTGTGTAACTGTTGGCTTCAGAGCTGGAACTGAATTAACAGTTCTTCAGTGAATTAATGACACATTCTTACAGGCTAAATCTTCAAATGCGTAAGTTTGACATAATGGTAATGGTGAGCCTTTCCATATCACCTGCCTCTCTGCAGACCAGGTTACGGTTGCGCGATGGGCCACTGGAATGAGCGCAGATTACGAAGAAATCACAGAAGCACCAAAGCTGCAAAAACCGAAAGTGAAAGTACCCAAAGTTGTGACTTTCTGAAAGCTTTTTGGCTGTAAATCACTTTGCCTGCACTGCTTCACTTCAGAGTAGGGACTACACAGAGTGGATTGCTGATTCCAGAAAATCAAACTTGACTGCTGCTGCAAAATTATGTTGCTATTTTTTTTTTTTTTTTTTTTTTTTTTTTTTGGTCCCCCCCCATTTTTCCATTTTCCTGCCGGATTCGCCCAGCATGCTGCAAAGCTGCAAACCACAGAAATACAGCAAGTGGGTATTTTACTTTCATATATCGCTGCCAAAATACAGCATATCCTCTGGTTTGCAGTCCCTCTGACTGCCAGATTTCTGAAGAGGGAAATTGGCTGCTTCTTGAGACAGGGATCTGGCTGCAATAACCAAACAGGGCGTGTGTGTTCTGTCACAGGGGCTTATGACCAGTGGATTTCTGTGGTCAGCATTGTTACCTTAAGAGCGCTGTTTTACTTTACCAGAGATGAACACAAGTATGCTGATCTTACCAAGAGTCTGTATTTCTCTGAGAGGGGTTGTGGGTATTCGCTGAAGAGCCACCTTCTTTTAGAGAAAATTGGTTTTTTTCTGTGTATGCCAGCCTGAACAGTCCTGTGTTGAAGGTACCAGGTAAACCCCACAGCCTGTTTAGCTTCTGTGTAAAATTCCCACTACTCCATGCATTAACCCGACTGGTCACATGTGCTGGATTGTTTGTTCAATTAGTAGAAACAGAATCATGCCCTTCCTGTGATATCTGTGGTGAAATACACCTGGAAGGAGTTGGAGAACAAGTGAGTAGCTTGCTCAGTTTCTTTACCTTTTATTTTCTTTACCTTATTATTTTGTTTACCTTGCTTTTTCTCCACCTGTTTTCCAAGGAAAGTGGTCAGAAGTTTTCAGTGTTTCTGTCTTGGTGAGCTGGGAGTAAACTGCTTTGTATTGTAAGTGCCTCCTTAATGGCAGATTTCTTTCTTTTTAAATGGAGACTGCAGTCTGAAAGCCTAAAAAAAATGTTTTGTTTGTTGTTTTGTGGTTTGTTTTTTTTAAGTTTATTCCTGCAACAGCTCTCAAATACTGTAGTAGCAGTGCAGCAATACCGCCCATGCAGCCTGTGGTGATAGGCTTTCACCTGTGCCTTACTGGTGTTACTGGGAACACCAGATAGAAAACCAGAGATCAGGACTGGGTTTTGACATGCTCAGGAGCAGCCACTGAAACTAGATTTGGAATGTGCTCTTCTTACAGCAAAGAAAACTTCACATGTGGGAATTTAATGGTGTGGGTATGTTTTATATTTGTACATGTTAATTATTTTTAATAAAACACTGCTAAAGAATACAGTAGTTGGAGCTCTTGTTGTAGGTTTCCTTGTTTAGCTCTGGAGGCAAAGGCACACTGACTACAGGAGGGGCGAGTATGTTCTGTTTGTATTAATCACAGCACACGTTTAAATGAGGAAGAAGAGTGGATGTGGATGAAATCAAGGATTAATTACAAAGTTTTAACTTACTGAATTAAAGCTTAAAGCAGTATCACTTTAATATGGACAGTTTTGCAACAGATGCTTATTCCAGCCTAAAAAGTGTTTCCCGTATTTTATATCGTTAAAAAAGCATCTTTTTAGATCATTTCCTGTCCTTAAAAACTTGTTGGTACTGTAACATTTTCTTTTATCCATAGGAACTTGGAGCCAAGCACCCTGACTTTCACAGCAGTACTTGTAGTTCCCAGATGAGGGTCTGGTGCAGACAGGTGTGCAAGCTGGTGGCTCAGAGGCACAGCCTCTGCCAAAGCACATCTGTGGCTTCCAGTAGGTTGTGGTCACCTGGTTGTGCTGAGGCAATGTGAGCAGAAATGTCCCCTTTACAGACTGCTGAGTTCTGTGATGTACAACGTGTCAGCTGGAGGGAGAGATTTACTGTTCCCTTCCCACAGCTGATCACTGTCACAACCTGGAGTTTAATACCTGTTGCTTTGATCTGTTGTACACTATACAACCACTTGTCAGGGTCCTACACCTGACTAGTGCTCAGAAGAAATAATGGACTTCTTCAGACTTCACAGGGTAAAATCACAGGGTACAGCTGCTGTGAGAATTTCAGTCTAAAGGCAGCAGCCATTTTCAGCTTGCACAGGGCTGGAAGCAAGTACACCTCTCTTGTCCTCTGCATTAGTGACTGCTGTGGAAAACAAGGCACTGAAATGATTTTGCCATAATAACAGCTGCACAAGTTGTCAATCTTCAGTCACTGTTGGACAAAGCCACCTGTTAAATGCACCCACTAATCACTTGAGATTATTTCACAAGGGTCTGTGTAGTTGAAGAAAGCTATTTGAAAAGCAGCTGTGAAAGGTGCTGCATGTAAAGCCACATCATGCTCACAAAAAGAACCTAGGCAAATACTGAGTACTTAAGTGAAGTCTGTGCTAGAAACCTGAATCTCTTTGTCTTAGAAGTTGCACAGACTTTGGGAAAATACAATCCTTGGTCTTTCCTACAACCCCAACTACATGTGATGGCTGTGTCCAGAATGTAGCCTGGCTTTACAGCCCTTCAGTCTCCAGAGGCCCAAGTCTTGGTGTGGGGGCAGAGAGGAACCTGTCATGTAGAACACTATTTCAAAAATTAGAATCCCAGACTGGTTTGTGTTGGAAGGGACCTTAAAGCTCATCCAGTTCCAACCCCTTGCCACAGGCAGGGACACCTTCTGTTAGACAGGTTGCTCCAAGCCCTGGCCAGCCTGGCCTTGAACACTGCCAGGGATGGGGCAGCCACAGCTTCTCTGGGCAACCTGTGCCAGGGCCTCACCACCCTCACGCAGAAGAACTTCTGCCTAAGAGCTCATCTCAGTCTCCCCTCTGTCAGGTTAAAGCTGTTCGCCCTTGTCCAAAGCCCCTCTCCAGGCTTCTTGTAGCCCCTTTAGGCACTGGAACTGCTCTAAGGCCTCCCGGAGCCTTCTCTTTTCCAGGCTGAACCAGCCCAGCTCGCTCAGCCTGTCTCCAGAGCAGAGCTGCTCCAGCCCTTGCAGCAAGTCCATGGCCTCGTCTGGACTTACTCCAACAGCTCCACGTCCCTCTCGTGTTGCTGCCCCAGAGCTAGATGCAGACCTGCAAGGGGGGGTCTTCCCCAGAGCACGGTAAAGTGGAGAATCCCCTCCCTCAACCTGCTGCTCATGCTCTTGGGGATGCATCCCAGCACACAGAGGTGTTCTGGGCTGAAGCACACACTGCAGCCTGGTCATGGTGAGCAAATAACCTTCTCCAACTAGCCCCTGCATTAGCCCCACAGCCGAGTTCAGTTTGCAAGGGTTGCTGCAGTCACATCACAGACTGCTCGCTAGAGAGCCACTTGGACAGATGACAGGAAAAGCTTGGTGCAGTTAGCGGCATTTGGGCTTTCTCCCCTGATGTGCATACACTCAGCTGAACATTAGGTGTCTCTGTTCACTAAAAATTGGTCCCCCAGAGACTTCTCTACCAATTCAAGAGCTTGCCTGCCATCATCCGCACACAGTGATTGTCGACAGGGCTGGGAAGAGTCTAAGGTCCTCAACCTTCCTTTACCTGCTGAGCCAGGAGGAGGCAAGCAAGGCCTGGAAGGGGCTGCCCTGAGGCTCCTCCCTCGACTGAGGCACCTTACTCACATGATAAAAATGATCCAAAACCATGCTCTGTATCTACAGTCTCTGCTCCAAAGGCAACAACCAGGACCTTCTCTACTTCATTAGTAAAGCAAAGGTTATGTTGTGCAGCATACAGTAGCCAACCTTTGCTAGATGTAGAATATGGCACTGATCTCACTAGTGCTTTGGTTCAAGATTGTGCCCAAGCTAAACTAGTCTGGTTGAGAGTCCAGGTGGTTCCTGGTGCTGGTACCCAGAGGGCTTCCAGGCTGCCTGTCTCTGCTGCTGCTTTTGGTAGACATGCTGTACACAGAATGTAACCTATAAATCACTGCTGAAAGTTCTGATTTGGTTGTAGGTTAAAAAGAAGATGCATTTAAGTGGGAACTGGATCAGACCCCTAGAGCTCTTGCTCTAGCAATTACAAGACTACAGTAAGATGAAATGGCACTGCCATAGCTCACAGGCTTTGATTCCCTTAACACCCCTGTATTCGTGTTACGATCCAACTGCTGATGACCATACTTGTTTTTCTGAACACGGCTCTTCAGAGCAAAAGTCACAACCAAAACCAAAGTAGACATACCACAACAAAAATCTCTGAAACCACTCTTCTCTTTCATCTGTGAGGGTGTGGATCCAAGAGTCTCACTGTTCTGCATTTATTCAGTGCTCTCAGAACAGTCTTGCTCAGAGCTTGCCTGCTGGAGGTCAACAGTCCCCAACATAACAGAAAAGCTGCCTTTCTTGAACAATGTCTGAAGCTGTTCCAGAGGCACCATAGTAAGATTTGTAACCTCAGAAACAGTATTTTATTGGAAGTCAACAGATAAAATAGAAGTATTAACAGTTGAAGTTAGCAACACTAACTTAACACGGGGTGTAATCAATTTATAGGTAAAGGGTGTGGGAGAACCTGGATAACCAGAGCACTGGGTAACACATTTAGCAGCACCACTTCTCTGCAAATTTACTGATTTAAAACTTCAGTGGATGCAATTCTGTTCAATATAACATTAAAACAGTGAAATAACCTCATGAGCTACAGTTCTACTGAGCCACGTTCTGCCTCAATTTACATAAAATTCATTAACGCAATCAAGACAGAAATCTGTTTGTTTAATCTTTTTAAAGTTAAAAACTGAATTTAGAGCCTAGCCTAACCTTAGTTTGATAGAAAATGCTTGTACTAGATATCCTCATCTAGCTCAGTATCGGCTACATGATCTAAAGTAACTAACCTGTAGAAAAATGCAAGAATTTAAGACAGCACTGTTTGATCATATTCAGAGGTTTCTTCAGAAATCTGTTTTTAATTTCAACTTGTTGTTGTTCATCTCCAAGAACTTTATACATTCCAAAGCAGTGTCTTCAATGGATTTAGATGAGCCAGTAAGATTTGCAGCAAAGTAAGGCATAATACCTGATGTCACTTGATTGAAGTAACATACCTGTTTAAACAAAAATATATGAAACTAAAAAGAATACGGATTGTAATAGTTGGACAATTTT